CTTAAATTAGACAATGACTAAAGTTGTACAAGTGGCTAGTTGTACACTCTTTCTATAGTTGCTCCCTGTGGTTGTAAAGCAACCATTAGCTGAATGTACTATCAATAAAATCCTAGGTCGCAAGTACTTATCTTATTATTTAAAAAAAAAAAAATAATATAACTATTAACTGTATATACTATTAGACCTCTAAAATCGATAATATAACAGTTATATTTTAAGATTACAAATCACAAGACTGTTGGTTCAAATCCTAGTAATGACAATTGCAGAGATGTATTTTTAAAATAAGAAACTGTAATACTATAGAACTAGGGACTTGAAATGTTCAAAGAATGAACTTATTTCTAGAAATAGCAAATAACCTATAGTTAAGAAACCATACAGTGATAGATATGAGTTAGAACTTAATTTAGAATAACTAAAATCATGAGATATAATATAAGACCAAAAGTCTAATAATAAAAGATACTATATAAACTCATAGTAACAGTTAGTCTATACAGAGCCTGATGAAACTTTCTGATCCTAGCAAAGATCAATGCAACAATTACTTCTGAAAAGTTTAAAAGCACAGACCAGAAGAGGTTAAGGTTCAATAACTTTAAATATTGAGAACATTAGTTTAGAAGAAGTATAAAAGATATAAAGAAAGATCTTGACAAGATTGTCAAAAAGGAAAAAAAAAGAAAAAAAAATGTACTATCAAAAAATCTTAGGTCATAAGTACTCGTCTTAATATTTAAAATAATAATAATAATAATTTTTGAATCATATTTGGAAACTTGCACAGCATCCAAATGCTAATTATTAATTATAACAATATTATTCAAAAGATTTATTTTATATATATCATTTTGCAGAATAATATTTGATTTTTAGCCAATAATTGGTCGCCTATGTTATGTGATTTGGGCATGCTTTTTGCTTTTCAGCATTCCCATAAGACATGCTAACAATTAACTGGCAGGTAACCCGTATTGGTTTTTTTTTAACCGGATTAGTACGTGATGACCAATAGCATCCAAAACCATCACTTATTTTTTATTCATGCAGAAGTTGGTACAAATTCAAGATGTAATTATAGTAATTCATAATATTATACATTAGGCTATACAAAGTGATTTTCTGGTTCTCATAACATAAAATAACAAAAATCACCCGGCAGGCCGGGTAAAAATTCTATATATAAAAATTTTTTACACAGTTAAAATTTTTTAAAAAATTTTTTTTTTTTTTGTATATTGACAAAAGAATTTAATTATAAGTAAAAAAAAAAATTTTAATTTTTAGAAAAGGTGGCCCGGCCAGTTGAGAACCAAAAAATTAACTTTGTATAGCCTTATAGGTTCAAATTTAGGTTTTTCCATGATAAGTAAAATTTTGTGCTTATTTTTTGTCAATTACGCATGCATAGCTCTTTGGCAGCTATCTTTATCTTCAGATTTGAGTATCATATTAATTGGCTACACGTGTATAAAACGCATATAGAAAATCTAGGACAGGTAATGGCTGCTGTGTTGGAATATGACTTGTTATGACCTATTGACCAATTATAGGTTATAACCTTATGTCCTGTTATGACTTATAAAATTTACTAATACGTTATGACCACCTTGATCATACGTATAAAGTTGGATATGGCCAACATTGGTTCTGAGAATACATATCTATAAGTGTACGTACACCCTCTTTTAATACACACTTAAATTGGGCCCAAATGTATACATTTTGTAAATGTTTCAATATTAAAATTGCCTTCTGTTTCAATATTATTTTTACTGCATCATTGTACACAAAAAATTATTCAGAGCGCTTCTCCAGTTTTAGTCATTTTATTTGAAAATCATCGACTTTATTATTTATTTACAAAGAATATTATATCGATAATATTTTTTTAATGATTAATCCTGAGATCGGGGAGTTAATGTAACCTGTTCCAGATTTTTGATTCTCTAAGTGCTGTAACGACTAGTTTTAAATCGTGTTTGTTCTTTCTAGTATTATGTCCATTGAATCCTTTTCTAATACTTATGTTCATTTAATCTTTTTCTAATGCTTATGTTCATTGAAACCTTTTCTAGTAAATGATTTCCAAAAACAAAACCTTACATGTCTTGTACGTTCCACACATTCGATTTTGGTCTATAATGAAATAAATTAGGAATTTAATTAACATTGTGTAAACGAATTGGAATATTATAATATATGCCCTGATTTCTGTGAAATAAGAATTAAGTTAATGCGATTTAAACTGTAATTTAGTACTTACATATCGAACTAGTAAAAAAAAAAAAAAAAGAGACCATCAAACTTATTTAAACGTCCGAGTCGTTTTTTGGCTTTCTTCTTTTTTTCAAACATTAACATTAGATTATATCTTTCAGAGTAGAATTTAAAATAAAAAGTATAGAAGCATCATTTAACATTTCTATCCCCCCAAATTGAAAAACATTATGACTTCTCTAGATAAACGAGAAAGTGGGTTTTTTGATAGCACACTACCACAAAATGATAATTTACAATTATCAATATGTAAAGATCTCTCGATCGCAGAAAAGTCATTAATATTTGCCATAAAAGAGTTCGAATCTTCAAAAAATTATAAAGATTTATGTGCCAATGGATTAGATGTTGCTAAACGTAGCCAAAATACTTTGAAAGAAATTTATAGATTGATGTTCATTAATAATTCACCTTCTAACGAATCCTCAAATGAAAATGATGATAAAACAATAGTTAATCATAGATTCCAAGAATTTATCGAAGAGTCTGAGACCTTCCAAAAATTTAAAAATTGTTTCTGGGAGACCGGTCTTTTTATCGGTTATAATGTTTGTAACGATGAGATTGAGGTACGTAATTCACTAATTTTGATATATAAATTCTTTACGAATGTCATTTTATTAATAATTTCTACATAATGATAAATAGGCTCGTGGAAAAATCATTCGTCTAATGGACGAATTAGATCGAACGGATAACGAATTAAAAAATGAAATCGAAAACTGGAAAACCAAGCAAAATTATTGGTACCTAATTAAAAATAAAGTCATGGCCTTTGCAAAATTCATTCTGATTCCTCATAGAAAACTTGAACAATATGAATGTGAGATTGCTGAGGATCATCTTTCAAATGGTGAAATGGTTAGAGGAAGTAAAAATCATATAGTTCAACGAACTTATTTAGGATGCATTAAAGTTGCTGAAACGACTATTGGTCAATATCATGATGAACTTTTTTATGAATTAAAAAATGAAATTAAATTTATGCATGATCTTCGTAAATGTTCTCATATTCTTGAATTGTAAGTTTGGACTTTTTTCTGATGAATTTATAATATGAATGTTATTAAATAATTAATATATATATATTATTATTATTCTTCTTATTATTTTTAAGTTTTGGATACTGTCGTCGACCCACTGGTTTCTCCGTAATTTCACATTGGGAAGATTATAACTTACAAACCTACCTTAAAGATCATCCAGACCTTGATTTAGCAGACAAATTGTCAATTGCACGTGGAATTGCTAGTGCATTGGATTATTGTCATGAAAGACATATTTTACATTATGATGTTAAAACGTTAGTATCATATAATATCGTAATATAATATTGATATGCCATTAATTAAATCTCTTAAATTTACGATTAGTGACAATGTATTATTGGATAAGAATTTACATCCTAGACTGTATAATTTCCGAATTGCTAAAGAATTTCCGGTAATATTGACATCATCGTCAGTAGCGTTAAGTACTTCAAGGTAATTTACCAAAACTTGATCGGAAAAATAAATACATATATTGTATGTATTTTTTTTAATGACTTATTTATTTTAGATGGAGTTCACCAGAGAGAATTCGCGGCGAAAAATACGATAAAGCTAGTGAAGTATATAGGTAATTTTAATAATATTTTATTTAACTTTATGAATTAATGAATTTAATTCAATTTACGTAAAATATAAAAAATATAATAATTATGTTTATATTAAAAAGTTTCGCGCTGGTCATGTGGGCAATTGAATATCAAAACATACCTTTTGCCGACTTTATTTCGGAAGATGAAATTACAAATCAAGTACTTTGTGGAAGCCGTCCAGAACTTACATCTGCAGATGGAATACTGGCAAAATATCATGAAATTATTGAAAACTCTTGGTCTCAAGATCCGTCTTTACGTCCCGATATGAGAACAATCCACGAATATTTGAATAAACCAAACTTTATATATTTTTCTAACCAAGATGCAGATGATGATGACTATTTTGATAGTATTGTAGATACAGGGCCATCAAATGATACAATATTAAAATATTTGGAATTTGAAAATCGTTGCCAATCTGGTGAATATCCTACCAGATCAGATAAAATAGAAGAAGGTATTAAATATCACCAAAAGAAGAAACACAAACAAGCATGGGAAACATTTAATGAATGGTACAACCTTCATTCTGATGATTCACATGCAAATTTTTGGTTGGGATTTTATTATCTTAAAGGATATCATGTTAAAAAGAATGATCAAACAAGTATGAAATACCTCAAAAAAGCATCAGAATTACAGCATCCGGATGCGCAATATTGGTACGCGTATATCCTGCTAAATGGACCAGCTGTATTTAACGGAGATAGGTATGCGATCGCATTAAAACATTTAAGGGAATCAGCAATGCAAAATCATCGTTTAGCATTGAAAAAATTGGGAAGAATTGTGCAGCTTGGGAGTTATCGTCAAGAAAGAGATGTTCTTATCGGAAAAACGATGATTTGTATAGCTGATCAAATGAAAATGAAAGATAGAAAAGAATAACAAAGGAACAAAAGTATTGTTTAGTTTTGATATCACAGAAAAGTGTTGGTACGGTGTTATAAATTTCATACTTCCCTAAAATTCGATGTAGAAATATTTGACTTTTTTCTTTATTATATGCCTTAGAGTACTTTCTAACATTATTAAATATTACTGTATTACGTTTGAATAGACTTTATATTAGATTAAATTCTAAATTGAAGTACAACGTATACTGAATAAAAAAAAATATTATTTGATTTTTGAAAGCCAATTATATAATAAAAATTTTCACTTGAAAATTTTGTTACTATTTGTAGATCATTTAAGAGTATTGCTAATGCAAAACTTACGTTTTTGATACTCTTGCAATTACTTTTTTGATACACCTAAACATACTCTAATATAGTGCAGGAGTATCAAAAACGTAAGATTTGCATTGCTAATTGTCACCGCAGGTGATCATATGTGAAATTGCTTTATTGTGCTGCTTTTCAGGCAAGTTATATCTTCAGTCTCCTTGCTTGTAGTATAGTCACACTCATTGTTATCACTTATTTTCTCGTTCACATCATCATCGTAGTTGTCAGAAAACCTTGCAATGATTACGGGAAATTCTTTCGAGATCTACCACCATTCTTTTAATCTTATTCTAAAAAAAGAAAAAAATTATATTGGATCCATCATTGTCCTGATTAATATATAGATATTGTAAATTATGATCTATGATCGTAATTTACTCAGGTCTTTAATACCACGCATTTATAAAGTGCAAGCCTATTCGAACCTATATACAATCTGTTGGATTTTATTTAACACGTAGTCTTTCAAACCTTTACATAATGAGACACGGGTATTGATCTTCGGATCTTACTTGATATATTACTACATCAAGAATCTTACTTAACATGTAGTCCTTAACCAAGGCCATAACGAAATAGGTTTTTATAAGTAATTAAAGCTTTAGAGTGTCTTAATTATTTATAGGTATGTATACTATTCTCTATGGGCTTTATTTTTTATGGATTAGCAAATTTTTACATTGATTCTAATCATATGCATTTCTTACCGTATTGTCAAGAAATAACGCGCAGGAGTGAAATTACGAATTTTGGCTAAATTATGCTTACAGCTGTTTTTCATAAATTCTGAATATTTGCCAATTCGATAAGTTTTTTTTTATTTGCAATTCTTCAATGTGTGCCAGGTTGATGGCGTACAAGCCACACCGATCAGTAACTCTGATCAAATTAGCTCCTAACTGCTACACTTAAATCATACGTACATACAGATGACACAATAAATTGATTAATATAATTAATAATAAAGTTCTTTTTTAATCGACTTATTCCTTTTTTCAACCAAATCGGTACATTGTCTACGCCCTTCGATTGCAACATTTTCCTTAATTTATGGAGACTACAGAGGTTCGTGAAACAGTAAAGAAAATGTTCTTTAATATTTATATTTATGAGAAGCGAAAAAGAATTTTTTAAACGAACATAATTTTTCTTTTAAATATTTTTTTTTTTTTTTTTTTTTTGATATATATATATATCTATATACATATCTTTTTTTTTTTTTTTCTTAAAAAAAACACTTATTTTAGGTACATACCTGGGATGATTTACCAGAACCTTTAAAGTTGGTACTTCCTAAATCATACACATATATATTAAAAAACTTCAATGAATTACCTTCATATCGAACCGCTGAAAACTTTGAAATGCCGCAATTCGAATTTGATGGATTTGTGAATGTCGATAATAAAGGAATGGTACAAGAATGGTTTCATGCCTTCGAATTACAATCAAAGACCACAATGCCACAAACCAAAGGTTACAATGTAAAGGGAAGTCATGTACTCTTTCGAGAAAAGCGGCATTGCATTCATAGTAATGAAGTTAAAAAAAAACAAGGCAATCGTAAAACCAAGAATCCACAGTCACTCCAGGCTCGGAATATAAACTGCAATGCAAGCATTCACCTGCGGTTAGAAAGATGGCGTCTTGAACTTGATCATCCGTTAGAGATTAATATTAAATTTATCCATAACCATATAATTGATTCAGCCGAATCATTAAGTTTTAGACATGTAAATGATGATGTGCGAGAAAAATATTTAAAACTGTTTAATGATGAACATTCCCCCGCATCAGCACTTTACTCTTATGAAGATGAGCTTCATCTTCGTGTCGCAAATGATAGTGATTTACTTGAATTACTTGCAGACCGATCTACTAATCCAGACTATAATTATGTCTCTAAATTATTTTATCACTATCGTAAAACTGCATTGGGAGATCATAATGGTGTAGAAATGTTTAATCGTCTAAAAGAATTAATTAATGAGTACAATAATTCAGGAAATGGTAAAGCGGCATTACAGGAGTATAATGCAAATACCGGAAAAGCATTTATTCTTTGTATCGTAACTGGACTAATGTGCCGAGCACATGAGAAGATTCGACAAGCGGGTGAATTATGCTACATTGATTCGTCCGCATCATTTGACCCGCTTAATACCTCTGTCACCTTACTTTACACAAGTTGCACTATTGGTGCCTTTCCTCTTGGATTACTAGTAACTTCCGATGAATCTGAAGTTACTTTGGAGAAGGCGGTAATTAATATAATATTTACCTTTTTTAAAATAATTTCATTGAAAAATGACTAATAAATAAACAATTTCAGTTAAACTTACTAAAAACGATCCTTCCACCATATGCATTCTATGGGCGTGGACCGGAAACAGGACCAGCAGTTATACTCACTGACGATTCAAGTGCTGAACGCAATGCGTTAGAACTGTGCTGGCCGCAGGGAATTCGTTTATTATGCACTTTCCATGTCTTGCAAGCTTTTTGGAGATGGGTCCATGATTCAAAACATCACATTATTAAAGAAGATCGAGTATCTGTAATGAATAAAATGAAAAAAATTCTTTACGCACCCGATTTTTTAAAAATGGAGCAATATTATCACGAATTTAAGCATGAATATTATAATTTATATCCATTATTACAAAAGCACTTTGAGCTTTTGTGGGGTCATCGCTGTTTTTGGGCTCTTGCGTTTCATACAAATTTGCTCATTCGGGGAAATAACACTAACAATTATGTCGAACGTGGCTTTGGCATTCTGAAAGATATTGTTTTCACGAGAACACAGGCATATAATCCTGTGCAAGTGTTTCAGTATATAATATTTAATATGGAAAACTTTTATCGCTGACGATTGCTTAGTTTTGCACATAGACGTTCAGATTATTTTCAAGTTACAAAACGATTTATGTGTCCCGGTTGGGAGACAGTTGATGTGAATTTTATTCAACAAACTAGTGTAGAAAATGAATTCTTGGTATTAAGCACAAGTCAATATAATCTTTTTTATATTGTTAATAGTGAAATTGGAACATGCACATGTCCAGTTGGTATGAACGGGGCGCCCTGCAAGCATCAGGGTGCGGTCACAATGAAGTTTTATATTCGAATATTGAACTTTTTCCCATCATTAACTCCTGATGACCGTATGGTCTTTACATATATTGCATTTGGTGAGATAAATTATAATTGAAATAGTGTAATAAATATTATAACTAAGAAATTTTATATTAATTTATTAGGTAAAGTTGCAAAAAACAGTTCTTTTTATGCTTCACTGCATACAGAACCTATCAATATACAAGAACGTTCGCAAGCAGAACCGTCTAATCAGCATTTATCAGAATCTTCATATTATGAACAGGTGTTAGTATTTACTTTTAAATTATAAATATTAAAGTAAAATATGAAACTTAACTACTTTATTTTTTAAAGTGAATTAAACCAAATGAACGAGGAAATCGATATGAACAAAGAAATTAATATGAACGAGAAAATCAATAACACTACGCTCAATGCTTTCCTAGAAGAAATTAGGAATGATTATCAAAATGGTGGTTCGCAGTTTCGTGCCGCATTGGACAAATTTACTAGACGGTACCATACATCAAAAGCAATATCATTTGCCTGGCTATCTTCTTTTCTTTATAACAGTAATGCAGATCCAACCCATATTAAAAGCGGTGCTATGATACGTGTTCAAGTTGAATCTACCAAACGTCGCAATTCTGAAAGTTCTGGTGGCACTAGACGAAAGCCGCATGCTAAAGCAAGAAAAAGTAAAGAAAATCTTGATTCTCAAGCAATTCCAAGTCGGAAGAAAAGGAAGCACAATAAAAAAGAGCATAATTTGGGAAAAAATATTTTAAACAATCAATTAAATTGATTTATTGTATTAAAAAAAAAAAATTTATTTCAATAAATTTCTACTTTGATAATTTGCTGTTTCAATATTTTTTAACAATACAAAAGTTTAAATTTAATAATTGATAAATTTAACAACTTTCTTTTATAATTCGTTAAATAAAATATGAAATTATCGTTATCGTTATTTTTACAGTATCGGTACTGACAAAGATCGTAAATTCATATTGAAAATTCACACGTGGCAGTCAGATCTTTGTGGCTTATGTGCCACCAACCTGGCACACATTGAAGAACTGCGAAAAGAATTGCCAGTAATAATAATGTTAACAAATTACGTACTTATGTATAGAATTTAATTAAAGTTCTGAACAATGAAATATTAAAGAGAAGAAATCTTAACAATATAACAATAAATTTATTTAAATATTTAGATAAGTTTTATTTTACATGAATAATATTAATACATAGATAAGCGCTACTAAAAAAGAAACAGGATTTCAGGCTTAATAGTACTCGAATACAAACGAAAGGCTATTACTTTGTTTATTGCTTCTGTATATTATAAGCCACATGCTGTGCTTAATAGCCACATGCAAAATATTTTGATGGTTCAATTTTTTCAAAGCCTTAGAATATCTGATCTTCATTGTGTTTGGCTTTCTCCAGGAATTTCAGTTTTACTAGGGGTTTTGCCAAAGATTTGCTATTTTGCTGGAGTTCTCCGTTTCGGTAGAGTTTCGCCAGTTTCGACTTTCACCGAGTTTAGTTTCG